AAGTTAATTTTATCTATAGTTATAGTGTATTATGGTTCAATTTATAATAATGGTCTTCATTAAAAACCTATTTTTACCAAATTACGAACACTTTCGGGACTTTTCCTGAAAGAAAATCAAAAACTGCTATTTTAGTGAACAGCCGAAATGTTGTGTCCGTGTGCAAAAATATGAAAGAAACCCAAAAACAGACCAAATCTAATGTGGTTTTTGCTTGTTTTGTATCTCTATGATCCATTCTACAAAAGAGATGTACTAGCGATTAACTAATGAAAAGGACTATGCTTATAAACCGTTATATAGTTTCGCTTCTGTCGCACTGCTATTTTAATGAACACAGCTGTATGTATGCCTAAAGGTATGCTGCATTTCTTGTACTTTCTTCGGAGAAGAACTAAAATATATTATAAAAATATAAATGTATCTTACATAAATACGTAGTCGAAGGCCTCGTAGCTAGCACTACCCCCTATGTTAGTATTAGTTTTTTAAACTTTACTATGATCTCAAATTAATAAATATATAAATAAATAGCATACTTTTGTGATGACTTCAGAAAATGTCAAATTAACATAAAACGAATTAAAAAACAATATTTTTCAAACAATTTTTTTTTTTTGATTATAAGAATCTAAACAGATAACAAGAAGAAAAAATTAGAACATTTTGTTAGGTCGATTATTAAATAAACGTTCAAGTGGGAGCCTCCGAAAGTAGCAATTTTTAACGGTTCATAAATCTCTAACGACATCATATTTTAAAGTGGTGTTCATTTTTTTTAAATTGTTTTCTCTCATACTTAATTGTGTATGAAAATGGGTTGAGTGCGTCTTCTAGTTATTTTTTTCAAAATAAAAAACCGAAAAGTATGTAAAATTTTCCGATTTTGGTTTGGATTATCTATACCATATAAAAATCCAATAAATTGTACTTTTGGTTCGTTGAAAAGTCCAATCTTTTAAGATATAAATGCAAAAAACTGCATCCTTCTAACTATCCCAGGAAAGAAATTACAGATTTTTGGCCAAAAAATTAACTTTCTGGCCCACAGTGCGACGTTAAAAACCAGGTTTCACACAACTGCCAAAACTGCTACACTACCTTTGATGCTGTTAACAACCATATTCTACGTACGAAACCCTGTAGTCGTTATAACTTTTCGCGAACAGCGAGGAAAATAGAGCTCTATTTGACAAACAGGTCTCAAGCTCTAGTATCTGGCTCAATAATTTTCGATTTCATAACTGTAACTAGTGGTGTTCCGCAAGGATCAGTCCTAGGACCTCTGTTTTTTTCAGTGTATTTAAATGACCTCCTAAATGTTTGGTCTTAATGTAATATTCATTCATGTACGCAGACGTCGTGCAAATCTATGTCTATCGTCTCCTGTTTAAAATTAATGAGAGTATTGTTGACTCTAATGAAGAACTAGATAATATAAAAAAACTGGGCAACGGAAAATCCTCTGTGTATAAACCCTTGCTTAGTAATACATACATATATAAAAAAACAATCGTAACCTGTTTCCTCAACCATTTCGAATTGCATGAAACCGAAATATAATACTGTTCCCAGGCAAATAATACGTAACAACACATTGTACTGGAGCAACCACATTACGATCTTGTGCGGCAGCTTTCTTTTTTACAACCATTTTTACCTGTGCATCCCATATGATAACAAAAACATACCTGATTCTATCCTTATTTAACTGTACATCTCCGGACATGTAAAACCTAAAAACTCCATTTAACAGATATGGGTTTAATCGCAGAAGATATACAGCTGTGTTCATTAAAATATCAGTGCGACAAATGCGAAACTATATAACGGTTTATTAGCATAGTCCTTTTCGTTATTTAATCGATAGTACATTTCTTTTGTAGAATGGATCATAGAGATACAAAACAAGCAAAAACCCCATTAGATTTGGTCTGTTTTTGGGTTTCTTTCATATTTTTCCACACGGACACAACATTTCGGCTGTTCACTAAAATAGCAGTTTTAGATTTTCCTCCAGGAAAAGTCCCGAAAATGTTTGTAACTTGGTAAAAATAGGTTTTTAATGAAGACCATTATTAAAAATTGAACCATAATACACTATACCTATAGAAAAAAATTAACTTTAGTGGGTAGAGGAGCTTATTGCTTCAAGGGAGAAAGGAAAAAGTGATTGAGCTTAGAAAAGGAGGGCAAAACGTATCAATATATTCAAATTCCCTTAAAATGTACAGCCAATATGAGTAACAATGCCATAAACTATGAACCGAAGCCCGAAAAACGTTATGCGATACAGAAAACCACAATTATAGAGGACGTTCGCAAAGTGCGCTTCAGCAAAACTTATCCTTGTGCATCCTGTAGGACTATGAAAGCGGATGTGAGCTTGGGAATCAGGGATGGCACTATTCTCCGAAGTCTGTTCGATGAAAATTTGAATGCTAGAAGTCCACCAAAGGAGCCATTACTTGGAAAAAGACACCCCAAAGACAAGTTGAAGTTTGCCAAAAGCCACTTGAACTAGCCACTTTCAAAAGGCGAAATATCCTTTGGACAGATGAGTCTTAGCTGATGTTTTTTGGTGGAACAGGTTCAAAATAGTATGTCCGTCGACCACCAAACACCGGGTACCACCCAAAACAAAATCTCAAGACCGTTAAGCAGATGGCCTTAAAATCATGGTATGGGCAAATTTCTCATATAGCGGTGTGGGCCCCATACGTTTGATCGATGAGATCATGGACCAACATGTTTACGTAAATATACTGAGAAACGTCATTCTGGGTTATACTGATGATGAAATGTCCTTAATATGGAAATTTCAGCAGGACAATGATCCTAAACACACCAACAAATTTGCCACACCAACATTTAGCCAAAAACAAATTGACGTAATGCCGAGTCCAGCACAGTCCCCGGATTTAAATCCGATTGAGAACTTATCGAGGGACTTAAGCGATTTGTTGTCAAGAAATCCCCGACTTCTTTGCCGCAGCTTTGGCAAGTTGTGCAGGAGGGATGGGGTCAGATTTCCCGCAAACGTTGCAAGGACTTGGGGGACTCCATGCCACGTAGGTGTTACCCTGTAATAGCCAATAAAGGCCCTACAACAAAATATTTGGTCGTAACCAAATCGATATTTAGTAGGATTAAGTTATTAATGAGCCATATTGAATTTTATCAAATTTTTCTTTTAAGACTGCTATTTCAATGAACACCATAGTTCAGTCTTTCTTTTTTGTTATTATCCGTATTTGCTAAAATATTGAAGTACCCAACAGGAAAAAACAGCTAAATTGCTTAAAAAAATAATTAAAACTGTTGTATTTAAGTTTTGTTTCAATGATGTGTTTATAATAGTGTTTTTCGGTTTTATACGTGCAGGTCGTATGCACTGCTATTTCAATGAACACAGCTGTATATGACCACATAGCAAGTTTAAAAACTCCATCTATGTATTATATTAGCAAATGATTGATTTATTATTTATTATTTATTTATTCATAAGGTCACAAAAACGAAAGATTCACACTGTATTTATTATATTTGCCACAAACTAATAACATAATCTATCCAATAATGACTGTCATTTTCAGAGCGAAATTTGTCTTATAACTGCAATACGATAATAGAATAATTGCCTCGCAATTTAAAAACTATACGAAACCCTGGTCATTTTCGCAATTTAATAAAAACTATTTAAACAACCAATAAACCATAACTTAATATTTATTGAAATAGCAAAATATGATAGAAAAATGTTATACTAAAACTAGAAAAAAATTACTTTATATAATAAAATTGTTTGAAATTTGTCGACCCATTTTGTAACTAGTGCATTTAAAATAAGTAATAACTTGTAGCACTGAGATAAAGCAAATACATTTTTAATCTAGAATCAGAGTTATGAGCATGGCACTGATCTTTCTAGCTTTTATAGCTTTAAAATATAATAGAGTGGGCGTGACAAAATTTTATTATGTCAATCGATAGGTAACGACGAGAGCAATAAATGCCAGCTAAAATATATATATTCTATCATTTAAAATTGGATGGAATAAATAGCGTGGGTAAAAATCGTTCCGATAAAAGCACATGTGTAAGGCGACAAACAGCGGCTACTATTGATACATCTGTAGAATTTAGTATAAAGCGTGCTAATTTATTTCGTTTTATTTTTTTAATCGTTGTTCGTTTTTTGCTAAACGCAATTTTTTTTCGTTTCAAAAACGACAATTTGTTTTCCTCGTTTTAAGAAATGGTTTTTAATCTGTAATCGGGTACTTTCATCAAAAGAAAACTACCACCATCCTAAGAGCAATTAAGGGCGTCCTTAATTTATGATTTACTTTTTTCCGACCCCACCTAATATTTTACACCAAAACATTTCCCTAAGGAAAAAACTTGTTTGTCAAATGTCGATAAAACAGCTGTTTAAGTATGAATAAACGGCGACAAAAGAAAACATTCCGATGACGAAACGATAACCAAATCTTGCGAAAACCGAACCACGCAAAAGAAAACAAGCTTTTCAGGTAAAGCAAGACTAAAGAGAAACTGAGAACACGCCTTTATGTGATTAGCAACCTATGTATGTATGTATGTGTTATATTCCGTTCCTCAGGACTGAAGTCGTCAAACCCCTGTAAATTTTATGCGGGTCTATTTAATAATTTTTTTCAGCGAAAGATGTCTTATTTATTGTTTTTTTGTTGTTAAGAATTAAAGCAAAAAAACTTGCATTGAACTGTGAATTATTCAAACTATCTAATAAAATAAAGTCTCACTTTAATATTAGCACAGGAGATAGAGAAAAACAGTCAAAAATACTTGCCGAGACAAAAATTAAGTTCATCGCTGTACATAATAACCAAAGACGTCATTACATAAGCAACGAATAATTTTTGTTACGGATCTTTTTGGGACAACTTAGTGTCCCAACATACAGACCACTCCGTTTTTGTAATCAAGGAAAAACAATCTGTTCCAAAAAATTAAAAATATTTATAGCATACCCTGCGATTCCCTGCTCACATAAAGGAGAATTGAAGACGCGATGACTTCCGTACTTATCTCGTAGATTAACCGAACACCTATTAGGAGCAAACATTAGGTACTAAATAGTCTTTTTGAGTCGTTTAACTAACCGAAAAACTCCACCAAATCCCACATCCTCTCCAAACAATAATGTTGATTTGTCATCGGAGAGCGCCAAATCCATAGCATTATTTATAGCGCTGAACATGTTCATTTTTTTACCAGATCCCAATGAAGAAGGATAGTAGGTAAAATGCGATCGCATCCATATGAGTCGCCTTTTATCAAACCGAACAGAAGTGATCAACCTTCCCGCTACTTGAGAAACTATCATCTTTATTATCAATATGTATATATTTGACAGATATTCCTGCACGATTGGTTACCAGCGTGACCGCACCACTACCGATACAAAATTCCATATCGGAAATTTAACAAACCATTAAATACTATTTCACTTTCAGAAAATACCATTTGAGTTAAATTCACCTAATTTAAAATATGTCCGTCAAATTAGCGTCGGTGACTTATACCCCGTTCCCATAGAGTCCATCCGTTCGAAACGGTTGGGATTTTTGACATATGTGAAACTCCGGTTCCCACAGGGCACATCTACCATCTACCATCCGACAACAGCTGTCAAATCAGCCGTGGCTAATAAAAACACAAGCAAAAATTGTGAAAGTGGATTTTGCCAGACCAAAATGAAATATTTACCAACTATTTTGGCTGTTGTACAACAGCAAAATCTTAAGTTGAATCAGCTTTTATTGGCAGCCAATTCAGAGGAGTGGAATGACGACGAATTGGATCTGTACGAAAGCATTTTTTCAGCAATAGGGCAAATGCCACGAAGTGTGTGGATGCTGGTACGTGCTCTTAAATTGTATTAAAAATACTATTAAAGAATGCGATTTATATTAAACAGATGCGATACGGGACATTTTGGGAAAAGGATATACCGGAAAACAACGACGAGTTCTTCAAAGAGAGCTTTCGTATGGAGAAGAGGACCTTTTCGTTTTTGGCGGACCGACTATGTATTTTGCGGAAGAACTGGCGAAATGCCATTCCTCTGGAAAAGCGGATCGCTATAGCCTTGGGATCATCAGCGGTTTGTTGGGAATGGTCCTGACAGCCACTACAAGAATAATAATGCAGTCATTTTAGGCTGTTGCATTTTGCACAACATTTTAAATGAGCACAACAGGGCTATAAATGAAACTTGGCAACAGGCTGATTTTAGCCATCCTGCTGAAAAAAGAAGGGCAGGAATTTCCCAATATTGTCTAAATGGTAACAAATAAAGTTCATTAATTCTAAATCTGTTTGTTTTTTATTAATTATTATTTTGGTCTATTTATTCTACATTTTTGGGACTTCGTTGTTTTTCTCAACAGCTCCAACAAATCCGATTGGAATTTAGCTTGGCTGTCTGCCATTCTCGACAATATTTCTGTCTGCGCTCGCTGCTCCTCCAGCCTTTCTCGAGCTATCTCCACAAGCTCAGACTTGTGGTCCACCTTTGAGCGCTTAGCAGTGCTGCCTGAGCGTTGAATGCCGCTGCAGATTGAAGCTTCCCTGTCATCTGGGTGTACATCCAAGAGCTCCGCAAAGTATTCCCTAGTATCTGCAATAAATACATTTTATTAGATAATTTTAAACCAAAGATATAAGTGTGGGGACATACTCTCGCCTTCTATTTTCAAAAGTTTCCCGTCATCATTGTTTACGTTTTCGTAATGAATGTTTCACTTTCCACTGTCAAGAAGAAGAGTTTAGGGTTTCCACCCAAAATTATCGCCTAAATATCGCATAAAATAGTCCGTCAAATTTGGATGGGGAACTGGGAAATTTTCGGAACAGCAAAACCTTATGGACCATCCGTTCAACGGATGGTAGATGGTGGATGGATCTCTGTGGGAAGACCCTATTAGCGGCGCTGGCGGAACGGTGGAATATGGAACATGGGGCCAATTTTTATTTTTTGTTTTTCTCGGCTTTTTGGTGCCGAATCGAAAAATATTAAATGTAAAGTTGTTTAGAATAAAAATATCTATCGATCTAGATAGTTTGCAAACATATCCGACTTCTAGAAATTTATTAAAAATCTATTTAAAAAATCGGGTCCCCACAATTTTGTTTATTGCTCCCCAATATGCACGGTAAACCTAGTTATTGGGCGTTAATTCAAGTTTCTTGTCAAAAAGTATCATTGAGCTAAAGCCGTCAGTTTTTGAGAAAATAGCTTAACAGTGAAGGCACCTCGGATTTTCCCCATACAAAAAAGGGGGGCAAATAGTAAATTGCACAGGGCTCCACTCTCAGACGTTGTACCAATATGCACGGTATATTGGCAGATTGGGGATCGCCTAAAGCAAGTTCAGTGCAAAAATCATAACGATAAAGCCGTGAGTTTTTGAGAAAATCGCTTTACAGTGGGGGAAGATAAATAATTAAAAGAAGTGGCGCCAGATTAAAATTTGAACCAGTAAGTTCCAAGACATGAACCACTATGTAAAAAATGTATTCAGGACACTAACCATATGGCAAAAAATTATGTTTCGACGCTATCTCTATTTGTAATAATTTTGACTTTCACAGACGTTGTACCAACATGCACGGTACCTCGTTGGAAAGGAAATTCATTTTACTAATTAACAAATGCGGTTCGGCGATCGAAAAGCCGTCAGTTTTTGAGAAAAAAGCATAGTGCGTTGTGGGCATCTCATTTGTAACAAAATTGTTCCACCCTGTTCTAAGCTCCTAAGACACTAACCATATGGGAAAAGAATAATGTTTCGACGCTATCTCTATTTTTAATTAACTTGACTTTCACAGACGTTGTACCAACATGCACGGTATTTCGTTGGAAAGGAAATTCATTTTACTAATTAACAAATGTGGTTCGGCGAACGAAAAGCCGTCAGGTTTTGAGAAAAAAGCATAATGCGTGGCTTGCATCTCATTTGTAACAAAATTGTTCCACCCTGTTCTAAGCTTCCAAGACACTAACCATATGGGAAAATAATAATGTTTCGACGCTATCTCTATTTTTAATTAATTTGACTTTCACAGACGTTGTACCAACATGGACGGTACCTCGTTGGAAAGGAAATTCATTTTACTAATTAACAAATGTGATTCGGCGAACGAAAAGCCGTCAGTTTTTAAGAAAAACGCATAGTGCGTTGTGGGCATCTCATTTGTACCAAAATTTTAGCTAGGAACACAATAACCTTATATCGATACCCTATATCGATACTTCGATAAAAACGAATGCACGAGGCCTGGAGAAGAAATAATTTATATATTTTACTGAAACTCTTAAAATGTGAATTTCTAATAAACTACGGACCCGATTTTAATAAATAATACATCAAATTGATCAGGTGAGCGAGTATAATCGAAGGCATGTCTTTATTTCGTTGAAAATATTATTAAACATAATTTCGTTTTTATGTATTATGGCGCCAAGATGTTGCCTGAGCGCAAGGGCAGCTCCTACAAATGCACGAGGGCTGGAGAAGAAATAATAAATATATTTTACTGAAACTCTTAAAATGTGAATTTCTAGTAAACTAGTAAACTACTATTTCAATAAATAATATATCAAATTGATCAGGCATGTCTTTAAATCGTTAAAAATATTCTTTAACACAAGTCCGTTTTTATCGGACTTTTTTTTTATTTTATTAGTGTACTTTATAAAAAAAATAATTGTAATGAAAATCGGTGGGAAACAGCATTGTGTAAGGAACTCAGAATTTGTACAAAATACACGAACTTGTCATACCCTACAAAAAAAAATTTAAAAAACTCGATATTTTCCTTAATTTTAATAAACGCTGCTGAAACAAACTTGCGCTGCGTAAGAAGCTCAGGAATCTGCATGCCAAATCCCAATAGCCTAGCTCTTATAGTTTCCAAGATTTCAGCGTTCATCCGGACGGACATGGCTAGATCGACTTGGCTAGTGATCCTGATCAAGATTATATATACTTTATGGGGCCGAAAACGCTTCCTTCTGCCTGTTACATACTTTTCGACGAAACTAGTATACCCTTTTATTCTACGACTAACGGGTATAAAAATAAAAATTCGACGCATTTACTTTAGATGTTTTTATTTCTTCATATTTATTTATTTATTCAGAAATTTTTAGATCAGCCTTATCGACGGCCGCCTCCTGGCTAGCCGCCTCCAGGCTAGCCGCCTCCTGGCTAGCCGCCTCCAGGCTAGCCGCCTTCTGGATAGCCGCCTCCAGGCTAAGCGCCTCCTATAAAGCCGCCTCCTCGCTAGCCGCCTCCTCGCTAGCCGCCTCCTGATTTGCCGCCTCCTGATTTGCCGCCTTCGCAGTCTTGCGGCGCTTCTGGGGCCTTTTGGCCTTTGGTTGTTTGCGTTTGGGGGGGGAGCCCCCCCCTCGCCATTATCTCCAACGATGAACTTGTCTACGTTCTGTAAATGGGAAGAAGAAATTATTAACAGTTCGTTTAAATTAATACATATAAATTACTTACGCACTTCACCAGCAGCACCCTCGACATTTTCTTGGGAAATAAAAGTTCCCGCGAAATGGGAGTGATGCCACACTTTCAGCTTGCCTTTATCGAAGTATCGATATAGGGTATCAATATAAGGTTCATGTGTTCTTAGTTACAATTTTGGAACAAATGAGATGCCCACAACGCACTATGCGTTTTTCTTAAAAACTGACGGCTTTTCGTTCGTCGAATCACATTTTTTAATTAGTAAAATGAATTTCCTTTCCAACGAGGTACCGTCCATGTTGGTACAACGTCTGTGAAAGTCAAATTAATTACAAATAGAGATAGCGTCGAAACATAATTTTTTGCCATATGGTTAGTGTCCTGAATACATTTTTTACATAGTGGTTCATGTCTTGGAACTTACTGGTTCAAATTTTAATCTGGCGCCACTTCTTTTAATTATTTATCTTCCCCCACTGTAAAGCGATTTTCTCAAAAACTGACGGCTTTATCGTTATGATTTTTGCACTGAACTTGCTTTAGGCGATCCCCAATCTGCCAATATACCGTGAATGTTGGTACAACGTCTGAGAGTGGAGCCCTGTGCAATTAACTATTTGCCCCCCTTTTTTGTATGGGGAAAATCCGAGGTGCCTTCACTGTTAAGCTATTTTCTCAAAAACTGACGGCTTTAGCTGAATGATACTTTTTGACAAGAAACTTGAATTAACGCCCAATAACTAGGTTTACCGTGCATATTGGTACAACCTCTGTGAGGGGAGCAATAAACGAAATTGTGGGACCCGATTTTTTAAATAGATTTTTAATAAATTTCTAGAAGTCGGATATGTTTGCAAACTATCTAGATCGATAGATATTTTTATTCTTAACAATTTTGCATTTAATATTTTTCGATTCGGCCCCAAAAAGCCGAGAAAAACAAAAAATAAAATTTGGCCCCGTGTTCCAGATTCCACCGTTCTGCCAGCGCCGCTAAGTCACCGACGCTAATTTGACGGACATATTTAAAATTTAAATTTACATAGTTTAGTAATTCGTGCTAATACTATACATTCACTTCAGTTCGGAAGTCATCTCTGGATGACAGTTAACAAGCCAAAAGACTCTACCGCTGTCGCCGATATAGTGAAATTCTTAGCCGATCTGATTATTAGACTTTAAGAGGGTCCAATCTGTTCTAAAGCCTAGTACTCAGATCGGCTAAGAGTTTCACTAGTCGAAAAATCTTATTCTTTGTGTGTGACCGAAGTTTTCAAAGTTCACCCGCAATGCATGTAGCTTGGTCTTACTGTCAAGCAGCTGGGTTTGTTGACAAACGAAAAACAAATCAACTGGAGCAATTTAAAAAAGAAGACTCTGTTGGTGCACAAAGAAATTAAAATAAAAATAAATGCAATTTTCAACGAGAGTTTTTATACCCGTTACTCGTAGAGTAAAAGGGTATACTAGATTCGTCGGAAAGTATGTAACAGGCAGAAGGAAGCGTTCCGACCCCATAAAGTATATATATTCTTGATCAGGATCACTAGCCGAGACGATCTAGCCATGTCCGTCTGTCCGAGAAATCTGGTATTTTTTCTGGTATTTCCTTAGCTTATCTGAGTACCGCGCTGAAAAACAGACCCGACGAAAACCTTTAGCCACCTGTTTGCCTCTCGCTCACTCCTATGGTTAGCACCCGTTTTTCGCCGATGTGAGTACTAGGCTTAACATGAGAAAATTCTCGTGGCGTCCCTGTTGCCAACCAATAGTCCCTATTCAGTTTTTCCTACGCTTGCCTGAATAGAAACCTCATCTTTGATCAATTAGATAAAAGCAATGAAATAATCACTCTGAAAACATTTCACATTGTATTTAGTTTAGAATTTTTTTCGGAGCAACTGATACGGATACGGGTTTTTTATGCCGATCACCTGTTCTTTTCAGCGATTCTTTATAAAGCCTAGTATTCAGATCAGCTAAGAGTTTCACTAGTTGAAAAATCGATGAACTTGTGTGACCGAAGTTTTCAAAGCTCACCCGCAATGCTTGTGGCATGGTCTTACTGTCAAGCAGCTGGGCTTGTCCCCAGACAGAAAACAAATCAATTGGAGCAATTTAAAAAAGAAGAGTCAGCTGGTGCCCAAAGAAATAAAAACTAAAATAAATGAGAAGTTCAACGAATGTTTTTAATTATGTAAACTAAAAGTTGAAGGCTTTCTTCTCGTCCCAGGGATGCTTCGCCATCTTTCCGGCGCCATCTATAGTCCAGATCGTCGGAGATCGAGCGATGTCCCATGTTCCCATGTTCCATGTTCCCACTGGGCTTCTCTAGCGGATCTCCTCCTGCACTTCAACTATTCTGCTGATTTGCTTCCTGTCGGTCAAGTCCCACAATAATGGGCAACAGCTTGGATTAGTTATCCTTTTTCATCTGCACTGACCTCCTTTAGGCGTTTTTCGGGTTTTTCTTTCATTTTGAACTTTTAAATTCCCCACCGCTCCTGCACGAACACTGCCAAAGATTAGATTTTTTATTCTTCAGGCCGCGGCTAACGGCGTTCATCGAAATTCACTCGCTTAATCTGGTATTTTTTCTAGTATTTCCTTAGCTCATCTAAGTACCGTGCTGAAGAACAAACCCGACGAAAAGCGTTAGCTGCGTATTTGTCTCCCGCTCACTCCAATGGTTAGCTCGCGGTTTCCGTCGATGTGAGTACTAGGCTTAAGACCAGAAGTCCGCTTAAAGTTGCAATAACATCATTTAAGCGGCTGTGTGCAGGGGGTATTACTCACAAAAACTGGAATTTTTCTTTTAGCCCCAATCGCTTCCAACGTGTGGTGTGTATGGGAAGATGTTATTAGCGTCAAATGAGGATCGGTTAGGTTTGGAAAATGGGCTATTTTATTTTATAGCCTAGTACCCAGATCGGCGAAGATTGTCATTAGTCGAAAAATCGTTTTTTTCGTAAGGTGAATGAAGTCTTCAAAGTTCATCCGCAATGCATGTAGCATTGTCTTACTGTCAAGAAGATGGACTTGTTGCCAAACGGAGAACTAATCAATTGGAGCAAATAAAAAAAGGGGAGTCTGCTGGTGCACAAAGAAATTAATAATGAAAGTAAATGGAATGCACTACAAATGTTTATATTCAATTAAATTAGTAGTGTTAAGCTTCCTTCTCGTCCCACGGAAGCTTCGCCATCTTTCCCGCGCCACCTGAAGTCCAGCTACGAATCCCAATAGACATTTAGGACCTTGAGGAAGTGGGAGCCGATATGGGAACGGGGTTGTTCCGCCTGATGCTGCAGAAAGCATCCTGACAATGGCTCCTCCAGCTATCCCTTAGCGGGCTCCCTTTTTTCCTCCCTCTCTCTTTTCGCTTTAGCTGTCAAATAGCTGGTGGGGGCAAAATTGGGTTGAATAAGTAAATTTTTATTCTTTGCGCCCCGGCTAACGGCGTTCATTGAAATTCACTCGCTAAATCACGTATTTTTTGGTATTTCCTAGCTCATCTGAGTACCGCGCTGAAAAACAGACATGGCGGAAAGCGTTTTCCGCGTGTTTGCCTCTCGCTCACTCCTTAGGTTAGTTCGCAGTTTTTGTTGATGTGAGTACTATGCTTCTTTCTTGATTGTTGTTACGGAACTGCTTCATTTTCAGCGGGACAGTTCCGACTAGCTCCGGAATTTCTTAGGGAGAAGTACCCCCAATGGAGACACCACCCATAATCAACGGCTGGAATAAACTTTTGGTAGTCTACGGTCTGTTTTTGCACCGATATATTGTATGGGTACCTGATCCTGAAAAGCTTCAAGGGATAAGAATCATAGTATATGTTATAGCGTTGAACATGTTCATTTTTTTTACCAGATCCCAATGAAGAAGGATAGTAGGTAAAATGCGATCGCATCCATGTGAGTGGCCTTTTATCAAACCGAACAGAAGTAAACAACCTTCCCACTACTTGAGAAACTATCATCTTTATTATCAATATGTATAATTTAGCACGACCAGTTCCCATGAGCAGAATTGCCGGGTCGTATCCGGTGGCCAACACGCGCAGTAAGGAAACTGCCGAATCTACATCTTGGGTGCCATCACCCCATCGTCTGATACTAAGTGCTGACCCGGCGCTCCAGTGGTAGTGCGGGGAACACGCGCTCAGCGGATGATCGCCGGATACCAAATGCTGACCTTGCATTTTGGTGACGGCGCTGCCGGCAGGCAAAGGCCTCAAGCTGTGGCCGGATCAGACTCTTAAGTTAGTCTAAAATTGGTACTCCACAGCCATAGCTGTGTTAATTAACTCACTGTAAAAGTATCTATCCTTTGCCTAAACAGGCTTAGGAATAATAAATAAATAAAATTAAACACGTCTTCTTCTTATTTGCCTAAACAGGCTGGGAGAAATCGGAATAAAATAATTGGCGCCCTAACGTGAAGAAAAAGGAACCCACCACAAAAAAAAAATAATAAAAGTTAACTAATCAAAAAATTAAAAATAAAGCCAAAGTAAAATAAAGCCCAACTCGGAAGAAAACGCGCGAAGTTTCATTATACCTTTACCCGGAAAGTCGGACTTCAGGACCCCTACCGAAAGTAGTCAGTTCAATTTAAAAAAGAAAAGTGTGAAAAAAAGTGAGCGAGAATTTTCAAAAAAATAAAACCTCACCCGAACGAAAAATCAGTTAAAATCAAAGAAAAAGAGTGTGAAAAAAGCGAGCGAGAATCTTACAAAAAAAAAAGGAGAAATAAACCCTCACTCGCACGAAAAATCAGTTGAAATCAAAAAAGTGTGAAAAAAGTGAGCGAGAGAAATAAAACCTCACCAGAACGAAAAATCAGTTAAAATTAAAAAAAAAAGTGTGAAAAAAGTGAGCGAGAATCTTACAAAATAAAAAATAAACCCTCACTCGCACGAAAAATCTGTTAAAATCGAAAATCAGTTAAAATCAATAAAGTTGGAAAAAACAGTCGTCGCAGTCGCAGGTCGCACCAACAGTCGCCGCCAACAACCAGCCCCCTCGCCCCGCACGAGGGATAGCAATCGTCAGCAGTAGTAGCCGCTAGCAACCAGCCCCTCGCCCCGCTCGAGAGATCGGAATACACCAGCTGCACTAACAAAAAAATCTGTAAGTAGGCTGTTTTGATTATTCGCAAAATTCTCAGTAGAAAACAGAAATAAATATAAAATATGAATAAACGGTCTGTGAGTACAATTCTGCAGGTAGAAAAACCCTAAAGTTTAAGGAAAAAAATCTCTAGAATTTTCTGGTGTCTGTCTACACTGAGAGAAATAATTTTCTCCCAAATTAAAAAGTACTTATAAAAAATACGGTAAAATAAAAAAATCTTACTCGTGCCGTAACCATTTGTAAAAACTACACTGGGAATTTTTTTCCCCTCCCAGAATTTCTTGAAATAAATATTTTACAGGATTGCTTTAAATATTAAACAATACAAATAAATTTTTGTTTACTTTAAAAAGTATAATAAATTGTGTTATAAATTTAAAAAAAAAAAACAACACAAATTTGGTTTGTTCGTCTCAAAATTTTTACGTCTTTAAACTAATATTGCGTGTTTAAAACAACGTAATAATACAAAATAACTGATTTAAATGTTTTTCCGATTTTGTACCCACAACTATAAAACGGGTTTCTCTCGAAAATAAAAAGAAACCCCTTGCTCTTATTAAAGCTCATGTACAGAAATGACGACTCCAGCTCGTCGGGAGATGAAATAATAGAAGAATATAAGCGATTATTAGCAACCAGAGTAAATAAAAAGGAAAAAATCAAGAGGGGGCTTGCACCCCATCACCTAGCAGAAGTCAAATTGTTTTAAAAAAAAGTGTTCTAGAAAGCCCCGAACGGATAGAAACCCATTCGCAGGAAATGCAGGCCAAACAAATCGCAAATATGGAGGCAGCTATAAACGCGACCTTAGAAAGACATCAAAGGCTGTTCGATGACAAATTAGGTACCATCGTAAGGGAGTTGGATAGGCTAAAAGTGAAAGCTCCAAAAATCGAGACATTTAAGGAAATCAATATCACACCAGGGGTAGAGTGTAATGAGCCTCTAGACATTATAAAATCGGTTCCCGAGTTCAATGGGAAGCAGGAGACATACATATTCTGGAGATAGGCAGCCATTGCGGCCTATAAGGTCTTCGAGCGCTTTAATGGCAGCAGTCGGCATTATCAAGCAGTGGTCATTCTAAAAAATAAAGTTAGAGGTCCGGCAGTGGCCGTATTAGCTTCATTTAATACAGTGCTAAATTTTCACGCCATCTTGGCACGTCTCGACTTTACATAGGCAGACAAAACTCCAACGCACGTGATCCAACAAGAACTAAGCCTGTCAAGGCAAGGGGATCTACCACTTCTTAAATACTACGATGAGGTCGAAAAAAGCTAACACTTCTTACAAATAAAATAGTAATGACGCATGACGCAGCCTCAGCGTCTGTATTAAATGAGAAATTTAGGGAAGACGCACTCCATGCGTTCGTCTCTGGATTGAAAAAATCATTAAAAGTAGCCGTTTTCCCAGCACAACCGCGGGATCTACCAACAGCATTAGTCCTAGCTCAAGAAGCTGAGTCAAGCAACGATAGGAGATTTGTGGCCAGGAGATTTGTGGCCAGCTTCGCCCGACATGCTGAAGAAAAAACAAATAAAGCAAATAATTATCGACCACCTTCGTGGAAAAACATCTCACAACGGTCAAATTCCCCTAATCGTGAACAAAATCAAAGCACGGGGGCAATAAAAAAAAACCCTCACTTTGTGAAAAATCAAAACTGGGGTAATAATAAAACTCCCTCTTTAAAACAAAAGCCAAGCCCTTATTCAGGAAATAGTCAGGCCAGGCCCGCACCGGAGCCAATGGATGTGGATACTCTCTCGCAATTCAGACAGTCCACAAATTGGAGAAAAGGGGAGTCAACACGGAGCCAACAGAAAATTAATTACCTTCCAGAGGAAAAACTCACGGAGGAAGAATACGATTCTGTCGCCCAAGCGTATGCTACGGAGATTGAAGATGACTTAGATGCGGATGATACTTGCAATTTTTTAGAATAAAATCCCTGCTCCCGTACATTACGCGAAGGCTAGCAGGGCGGGAAGTTAAACTGTTAATTGATACCGGAACTTCAAAAAATTACATTGCACCCCTCCCGATGCTTAAAGGCGTCGTGGAAGTAGAAACCCCATTTAGTGTTAAGTCAATTCATGGCCACACACAAATTACTAAAAAATGCTTAATTTCAATTTTTCAAGTTGAGTCTCATTTCTTCCTCTTAAATGCTCTGAAGGGATTCGACGGGATAATCGGGCTCGACTTACTTAAACAAGTAAATGCGAAGCTCGATTTTACTAAAAATATGTTGCAAGCTGGCAATGCAACAGAAAAACTTCAATTCACCAAATCGGAAAACGTTAATTTCATCAAAATTGATGACGAAAGTGTCCCACATGCAATAAAATCCGTTTTTGACGAAATGATTAAAAAAATTATAGAGCCTTCGCTGACCCAGACGAAGCTCTACCTTTCAACTAAACACCATAGCCACAATAAAAACAGATGGGGAACCGGTGTACTCTAAATCATACCCGCACCCCATGGGCGTGACAGAATTTGTGAACGCAGAGGTTAAACAACTTCGAGCGGACGGCATCGTAAGGCCGTCTAGATCACCATACAACAATCCCACTTGGGTCGTCGACAAAAAGGGAACCGACCAAAATGGGTTAAAAAAGAAGCGACAAGTTATTGATTTCAGAAAATTAAACCAGAAAACAGTCGACGATAGATACCCTGTTCCCGCGATTTCGACCATATTGTTAAATATGGGCAAATCTACATTTTTTACAACACTTGATCTTAAATCAGGCTTCCACCAGATAGAACTGGCGGAAAGGGATAGGGAAAGAACAGCATTCTCAATAAATAACGGTAAGTATGAATTTTGTAGACTGCCGTTCAGTCTAAAAAATGCTCGGAGCATTTTTCAAAGGGCTATTTATGACGTATTACGAGAAAAAATTTCAAAGACATGCTACGTGTATGTCGACGATGTAATAATTTTTTCTCAGACAAAAGAGGACCATGTTAAAGATATCCACTGGGTTCTCGAGAAACTCTTACATGCAGGGATGAGGGTGTCCCAAGAAAAATCAAAGTTTTTAAAAAAAGCGTTGAATATTTGGGATTCATAGTATCAGAAGGGGGCCTACGAACCTCACCTGAAAAGGTCAAGGCTATCAAGGAATTTCCCCTACCAAAAACCCTTTTCGATCTCCGATCCTTTTTGGGTTTAGCTAGTTACTATAGATGCTTTATTAAAGGATTTGCATCAGTAGCGGGACCCCTTACGGGAATACTAAAAGGGGAATATGGAAAAGTAAGTAAGTATCAATCGAGGAAAATTGGTATTGAAATGTCTAACCAACAGAGGGACGCATTTCATAAGTTAAGAGAAATCCTAGCATCAGAAGATGTCCTATTGTCATACCCTGACTTTACGAAGCCGTTCGATTTAACAACGGACGCTTCAGGTCTCGGTCTGGGGGCGGTATTATCCCAAGGGGGTCGCCCCATTACCATGATATCTCGGACGTTATGATAACGAAAAAACTTCGCAACAAACGAACGGGAGCTACTTGCCGTAGTCTGGTCCCTAAAAAACCTCCGCAACTACTTATACGGAGTAAAAGATTTACACATTTATACCGACCACCAGCCGTTGTAGGGTACAATGCACGAACGCACGCATAAGATTTAATGTTTTGGCTGTAAGTTGTTCCTCACTCGCATATATAAAACGTAAATAGCGGCAAAATTTCCGACTTTGCTGGACCGCCTCTCTGTACTGTACGTCTGCCATCTCGCTCGCACGATCTGCGCCGCGGCGACTGAACATCTGGCGAAAATCAGTGTGAGCGACGAGACGACGGAAAATATCACGCCATAACGCCGTTATTTTCCGTCTCTGCGCTCCCTACTTAGATTCCTGGAAGCGTAGTCAGCCACGTAGGCCAACTTCTGTGCACAGCTCGAGCACTTGAGTTTCGCTCGCTAAGGCCAGCAGACGTGCGCCAAAACCCACAGTCAAGATATAATTCGGAACAAGTCCACGTGAAAACTGATCGACAAACGGTACCGAAGTGCGGCAAGGTGCAACCTGTACAGTAATAGCTAAAGTGAATAGTGCAAAACCATAGACTGAGGTGAATATCAGTCATAATTTTCCTCGAGGACCGGTCATATAATATCGGAAGTGTTTTTGTTTCAGAACCCACCCCCCCGCAATCGATCTCTTAACAGGCGCTAAGTCCCTGCCACTCAGTGTATGCTGGCACTGGTATCGTCAAACGATTGCAGAGCGGGGGGTGGCTTTTAGGACCCTGGTCGGTTGCCGTCAAATTTCTGCGAGCGTTTTCATAAACAGTCAGAAGGGAATTTTCTTCGAGTTGACCAGGAGGTCGGATCAGCCATCCAGCGCCCGCATCTCGGCTTACGTACCGGCAGCGGAGGCGCCTTGATGAACAAATATGCAACGTAGACCTAGCAACACCTACACATCAGAGACTAGACATGTAGTCAGGTAGATACCCCGCTACCTCAACACCACTAGGGCATGAGGCCTAAGTAACAGGAGGCATCGGCCGCACGGCGTTGCCAGATGCGATTCGGCTGCTGTATGCTCAGCGGCGGTAACCTTGCGTAGATTTTAGTTTTCCTTTTTCTATTCGCTGTATTTGAGTAGTTTTAGCATAAGTGTACTTGTACGAAATTTCTAACGATAGTTTTAAATACGTCCATTAGGTAAAAAGCTTCTTATGTAAACGGGAAGTGCATCGAAGTTAAGGTTGTACACATCACACATATACATATACATCATGTTCTAATCTACCCTCAAGGGATCAACGAGAGCTTCATTGGGCCCAACGAACGCTTCGATGGATTTTCCTATAAAGTACCGATCGTGAGTAAACCCTTAATGAATATTGTATGAAAATGTTTGAGCCTTAATTATTGACGATGCGAATTCCGCGATAGCTAAAACCTCTGGCGTAAATATGTAAATAAGAATTTACCTAGTTAACCTGAATTACGTACCG